TAAAATATAAGTAAGCTCAACAACTTTTAAATAATATCTAGTTGTGAAGTGAAAGCATGAGGCGTCACATAATATATGAACTATTTATATGCAACCATGCCTGCGCATTTCTATATAAATTATTTGTTATCCAGATTACGAAAATATGAATACAACGATATGCTTTTCAAAAGAACTTCATTTAACCAACACATTAGAATGGAATTTGTTCAAATGAAACAGAATTGAATAGCACTGTTAACCAGGTAGTTCGGCCTTGAGGCAAAAGGTAGGAGGTGTGATGAACCCAATTGTTTAGGCCGGGATCTGAGAGCTCAATGCAATTTAGAGGCTCGAATTGCGGATTCTCTATAAATGTCTCTCTTCCACTGGCCTCTTCCTCAGCAGCCTCCTCCGTATCCTCATCAAACTGATAGAAGTTCAGTGGTGATATAACCGTCGTACTGGTGATTCGAGATATTTGGGCTCGGAGATAGTTCTTCTCTAGTCCGGGAAACGAAGGATATGTTGACAATCTTGCCTCAAGATTTCCAGTAAATAAGATCCTTATTTGTCTGGCGATTGATATCTGAATAAAATGTTAAAAAGTCGAGGTTTGATCGAGCTTCAATAAGCCAAAGGATTCGTAGTAAATGTTCGAAACTTTCAGAGAACGACCACTACTAAAATAAGATTATTGCACAAATTACCAGTCCAATCTACTTACGAAAATATTTCGGAAGCACAATTAATAGTAAAATGAATTTTAAAATTAGAGACCCTAAGTCGATTCCTTACAAAAAGTTAACTTTCACAATAGTAACTAGTAAAGGGAAAATATATCTTATTCAGCGAAAGAGTTTTCACAAAGATGCAAATAATAAAGCTGTTGGTAGTTAGGTAATTATACTTTTTCCATTTAACTAAGCTAGCCAAGCATTTCTCATCTGAGTGTGATAGTTAATTTAAGCCTCAAAGATAAAGCAGTTTAAAATAAACAGGTTATCAGCACAGACTTAAGTACATAAATTAGTTGTTAATATAAAATAAGTTAATGTAAACACTTTATATGATCCACAAATACAAAAATCTGTGTTATAACTAAATAAAATATCACAATTAGCGATCACAAGAAAATATCGTGCTGTTAAAAACTAGCATAGCATCAATAAAATATCTCACCTGTGAAGGCGTCACAAGAGGAAGTCGTGTCCACGCCTCTCCCAAAATATTGCAAACATAATAGACTTTTTTGTTGGCTCCTGTACCATAAGGTTCTGGGGGAATAGGAATAGGAGGCTTCCAAAATGATTTTGGCAATTCTTCCATTAGCTCACCATTTTTATCCAATTTGGCTTCTATCATTTCAAGATCTCCTTTCTTTTTAGCAAAAGAATCGCTATCCATTGCTAACTCTGTTTTAAACTCCTGTAAATAAGCGTCTTCTTGTAGTTCAGCTTCGACAATGTAATAATCTTTTTGCATTCCATAAACCTTCCCCCAAAACCTCATAGAGCGAATGGGCTCAGAAATAGCCAAATTTTTTAATGAAAGTAAAAGAAGTGTGGTCTCCTCTTTTCCCAAACCTTAAAATTTATAGTTAACTAAGACATTACCTATCCCAGCTAGCTCCAATTTAAAACATATATTCATAAGATCTGGCACAATAGGTGCTATCTGAGTTGACAACACATCTTTTTTCATAATAGGCTAAATTATTTAGATTAAACAAATAAAATACCGTTAAAAGTGGACGTTGGAGTTTGGACAAAATAATTTCTTTATTGCGGCAATAAAGATGGGGAAAGTTTTGACAAGGTGAATGATACGCAGATCGCTTAAGGTCCAGACTTATTTTCTCAAATTCTTTGTCTAGTCCATTTCTGAGGGCATGTTTTATAATTGCAACCATATGATCATAACTAAATATATTTTGTTAAATTTTAATTCATACACATTTTTTCCCTCTAAGTTAAAATCAGTCAACAAAAACGATTTTGCATCTATATACTTAGTGGTATTTGTGTTTATAA